ACACTCCCACATCTCCGCATCACTCGCCTCATCCCTTTCCCTCACTCCCCCCCCTTACTCCCTCCCCTCACTCTCCCCTCATCCACCCCCTCCCCCCTTACTCCCTCCCCTCCCCCTCCCCTCAGCCACCCCCTCCACACGCACACCTGCAACCGCACACACAGGTAGCTGCAGCCCGGGGATAGTGCCACAAGATGCCACAAGATGCCACAAGGCCCCAAGAACGCTGCTGTGAAACCCTGAGTGCCAAAGGGAGGGGGGAGGGAAGAGAGAGACGGAGGGAGGGGGGAAGGAGGGGAGATAGAGGGAAGAGGGGGAGGAGGGGAGATAGAGGGAAGAGGGGAAGGAAGGGAGAGTAAAGTGAATAGGGAGGGAGAGGGGGTAAGAGTGGGAGAGGGGGGGAGTGGGAAGGGAGGGGGAAATGAGGACAGACCGAGAGGGAGAGAGGCATAAGAAGGGAGGGAGGAGAGAGGGGGGAAGGAAAATGAGGGATAGGAAGGGAGAAGAAGGGGAAGAAGAGGATAGGAGAGTAATAGGATCGGGTTAAGGAGACTAGAAAAGAAAGGAGCGAGGAAGGGAGGGGGAGATAGAGCAGATAGAGAGGGGGAGGAGGAGAAGGAGGAGAAAGAGGAAGAGGAGGGATCTCCGAGCTCTATTTCCGGCCGCTGTGGCACTCGGGCAATTCTGTTGTTGCCGACGAGTGCCTGAGTGCCCGAGTGCCACCAGTGCCACGCGTTCGAGGCCTCGGGCAAGCGGGGGAGGAGGAAGGCTCCGGGGAATGGTTGGCATTGTTTTGTTTTCGAATTGTGTTTGTGCTGTGTCTTGAGCTGATTTATTCATTTATATTTACTTATCTAATTATTTTCTGTGTGTGTGTGTGTGTGTGTGTGTCTGTGTGTCTGTGTGTGTGTGTGTGTATGTGTGATTTAGAGGGATGATTACGTATATTATTACATGATAAATCATCATTGTTATTGTTATTACAATAATGCCAGCGAGGACAATAGCGTTAATGCAGTAATAATGACTACCAAACTATCCATTTTCTGTGAATTGCTTCATCCTCGGACTGATTCCTAACCAGAGTCCTGTTGCTGCTAGCCCAAACAGTCTCATCACTCCCTCCGTCCCTCCGTCCCTCCCTCCCTCCCTCCCTCCCTCCCTCCCTCCCTCCCTCCCTCCCTCCCTCCCTCCCTCCCTCCCTCCCTTCCTCAGTTCTTTCCTCCCTCCCTCCTTTCCTTCTGCCCTTCCTCCGTCCTTTCTACCCTCTCGTTCTCCTTCCATCCTTCCTTCCTTCTTTCCTTCTTTTCTTCCTTCTTTCCTTCCGTCTTTCCCTTCCATCCTCCTTAACTCCCCCTTTCTCTCCTTCCGTTCACTCACTCCTTCTCACTCCTTCCCTCCTTTCCTTCCCTCTCTCCCTCCCTCCCTCGCGTTAGGGACTCACGACGGGTCCAGCTCATCCTTATAAGGAGTCCTGCGGTAGGTGCTGGACGGCCCCCAGGACAGGTAGGAGGTGAGGACACCCTTCCTCTCCGATCCAGTACCCTGCTGCGGATGGCGGTAGCGGGGGAGGTGGCATTTTAGGGGGAGGGGGTGGGAGGTGGGGGGAAGAGCTGGATAAGGTACCTTGTATCTTATATATTTACCTTGTATATTTACAAAATTCCTGTGGGACTGTGTCGTACGTGTAGTATGGGTGTGTATGTATATATGTAGATATGTGATATGTTATATCATTGTTATTACTGTTATTATTGCCATCGTCATTATTGTTGTACATGCCTTGCGAAATCTGCTCTCTTCTTTACCTGCGATTCTCAAATCCTTTTTCCGTATATCCTAGTTGAAGAGAGAGAATGGGGAGAGGAGAGGAAGAGGGAGAGAAAGGGAAGGGAGAAATGAGATGGAGAAAAAAAAAGGTGTGAGAAGAGTAGGGGGAGGAAGGGAGGGAGAGTGGGAGAGAAGCAAGAGAGAGAGAGAGAACAGGAGAAAAAAGAAAAGGGGGGAGAGAAGTAAGACAGAGAGAGAACATGAGAGAAAAGGAGAGGGGGGAGAGAAGCAAGAGAGAGAGAGAACATGAGAGAAAAGGAGAGGGAGGGGGGAGAAAAGCAAGACAGAGAGAGAACAAGAGAGAAAGGAAAAGGGGGAGAGAAGCAAGAGAGAGAGAGAGAGAACAGGAGAGAAAAGAAAAGGGGGAAGAGAGAGACAGGTGGAAGAGAGGTGCGAGGGCCAGCGAGTGCCGAGGGACGGGCCGCGAGTGATGGGAGCGTGCAAGGCAGTGCCATCGCTGCTCGTCGACGAGGTAATTGCTCTAACAGTGACCCGCATGGTTGTCTGACCGCTCCGCTTCTTGCTTCTCTTCTTCCTGCTTGTGCTCCCCCCCCCCTCCCCCTTCCCCTTCCCCCCTGCCCTGTGGCCCTCCTTCCCTTCCCCTCTCCCCCCTGCCCCCTGCTCTTCTTCCTCTTTCTGTTTCTCCTTCTCCTTCTCTTCCTTCTCCTCT